TGGCTTCCTGTAAAATCCAGAATAGAATTTTAAAAAAAAAGTAGAATGGGAGTCTGAGCGTTCAGCTATCAAGCTCCTCTCCTGTGGAACCAGGTTCCAGTTTGGGTTCAGGAGGCAGACACCATCTCCACATTTAAGAGTAGGCTTAAGACTTTCCTCTTTGATAAAGCTTATAGTTAGGGCTGGCTCAGGTGAGTCCTGAACCATCCCTTAGTTATGCTGCTATAGGCCTAGACTGCCGGGGGATTTCCCATGATGCACTGAGCTCCTCTCTCCTCTACTTTCTCTCCCTCTGTATGCAACCTCATCCCATTATTGCATGTTACTAACACAACTTCTCCCCTTTCTGGTAGTCTTGTGCTTTCTCGTCCCTCTCCTCTCTCCTATCACTTCCTGCAGGTTTTCTGGCTCTGGAGCTGTGGAGTCTGGATCTGTGGCTGCGGGTCACCTGCTGCCCCCGTGTTCCTGCTCGACACCCTCTGCTACAACTATTGTTACTAATCCTGTTGTTATTATAATCATTAACATTACGATTATTATCATTAACACTACTATAAATATCTGTACCATTTTTCATTTAGTCTATAGCAACATCACCTTTACTGTCTGTACCTCTGTGTGTATATTGTGTAGGCTGCCTCCCTCCCCTCTCTCTCTCTCCTTCCATCCCCCTCCCTCTTTCTCTCTGTTCCTCTCTTGCCCTCTCTCTCTCTCTCTCACCCCAACCGGTCGAGGCAGATGGCCGCCCACCCTGAGCCATGGTTCTGCTCGAGGTTTCTGCCTCTTAAAAGGAAGTTTTTCCTTGCCTCTGTCGCCTAGTGCTTGCTCTTGGTGGGAATTGTTGGGCTTCTGTAAATCACAGAGTACGGTCTAACTGTTGTTGTGATTTAGCGCTATATAAATAAAATTGAATTGAATTGAACTGAAAGGTTTGTGAACGTTTTAAAGGTGGAATGGCGTTTCTACGTGAATGTATGAATTGGTGGGAAGAGGTTGAAGATCAGTGAGTTTGAATGATTTTCTCATTGACTTTAATTATAACACAGTTTCAAAGAAAGTTGAATAGCTTGAAGAGTTTGAATAGGATTTGAAAGTTGAATAATACGAAGAAAGAAGTAAAGATGTGGAAACGTTTCCATTTGGAATGGACTTTCTAGCTGAAAGTAAGAATGAGTAGTTAACAGCTGAAAAACCTTGAAAAAGAGTGAAAATGGAGACATTTTGAACATTCCGTCCATCCACTTGAATGGGGAAAAATGCCTTCAATATCTTGAAAAGTATTAAGGTTATCAAAATTCTGAATACAAGTGCTTGATTCCTAATTGAGATGAATATTCTAAGCTTTGAATGACGTTTCTACGTTGAAAACTGTGGAACTAGTTAGGTTGCAAAAAAAACGAGCGGAATAATAAGAATGCTTGCAGCATTCACACCCAACTATGTCACAATATGCATGTTTTCTGTGCTCGTAGTTTCAAGTATATATTTAGAATGAATGACTGCACCAAGGAGAGGGAAATTAAAATTAATTATTTAAATACTTTTTGTTTCACAAGCAAGATAACCTTCAGCTTCACACAACCAAGCAACATAATACTGAATTGCCTGAATACATTAAAGTATTGATCAAATACATTATTATTATTATTATTATTATTGCTATTTTACACTTACCACACACACACACACACACAGAGACACACACAATAATTGATGGTGACAAGGACTTAGTTTCACATTTGAGGGAGGGCTGTCTGCTGCGGCGTCGTTAGCCCTAGGCATCCGGCGCTATAGCCCTGGATGTTTTTTGAAAAGCCCTGGAGCTGAGAAGGGTTTTTAAAAATCAAACAACAAAAAGCCGAATATTGAACTTTACTTAACTAATGTTACGTGCGCAGAAGAGAGCGAGAGTGGGAATGAAATTATTGTTATTATTTATTCTCCTGCAAATTAGCGGAGAATAAGATGATCCAGCTGTAGCTCTTTGTCTGTCCTCTCTGCTCCACCTGAAGCGGCTGTGAGCTGCACTTTATCAGAGGCCCTGAAATTAACTTGTGTGGATTTGTGATGAGGTTCATCACCTGATAGGCAGAGGAGCCATTATACATGTTTCATTTCAAAACCTATGTTTGGTCCCCCCTTTTTTCCTAATGTAAAGTTTTATTTCGCATTGCCTTCCTGGCTCAGGCGATTTCGGAGCTGGCTCATATAGGAGGCGGTTTACTAAGTGACCAGTCAATCACTCACACACTCCACATCAGTTGCAGACAAATTGTAACCTATAGAAATGTTGAGGGAATAAAAAAAAGTTGCTCGAGGCCGGTGCAGCAAAGTGCCTCAATATTACAGACTTGTCTTTTGTGCTGCTGTTCTTCTAGCTGAAGGCAGTAGTGATGATGTCTGCAGCAGGGGTGGGTACATCTAATGTAGGACTACTGTTAATTTCGCTACATTTTCCATTCATACCTTTTATTACTTAACCCAGTCTGTAATCTGCATTTTGCTTCATTAACCAAAATGAGCTGTCATCCAGGCAGTGTGAGCGCAGTTATGCAGTAAAGCGCTGGTCGGGCGCTTGCCACAGTCACAGAGCTGGGCAGATGCAAACATTTAGAAAATCAGGCAAATATCTTTTCAGTTTAAGGCTTTATGTGCACACCATGGCACTGGTGGCCGTGTTGGAAAGCAGCCTCCATCGCTCTTTAACAAGCCGGCAAGTGAAAAACTTTCACTTTCCATTAACGGCGCATTAAAAGCGTCTTTAGTCTCTGCAGAGCAAATGAAGACTACACACTGTAACATCTATGTCAGACGATCACTGCATTGATTGAGATATATTAAAAGTGTCCTGTTGTTGAACAGAGCATCGCTTTGGACATTAGTCTGTTTCTTTTCTTTGATACACATCGGTTACTATCTGTTTTATAGCGATGTCTGACGGTGAGTCCATAATGTCGCCGGTGAAACAAATCTTTCACTCAGCAGCTACCAGCTGTTTTTCAGATGCACAGAGAGAGAGAATATGGTGGTTAAAACAGTCCTGTTAGGTTTTACGCATGACGCACAGCTTCCTCTGTATGTAGGTTTACCTGCTTCAACAACGAGCTGCTCTTGTGTTTCTGCCACAATAATCATCTGCGTTGTGAAGATTATTTAGATGCTTCAGGAATGATCACATTGTATTGGCAGCCTGTGCTACTGCAAAGCAAGAGGTTTGGTTGGCTACATCTCCATAATAAAAGGCACAGGTAACAAAAGTTGGCTGGGCAGCAAAAGTGATATTTTAAAGTGATCTTATAAACACCTTCAGGGAGATTTAAAAAGGAAAATAATTATAGAAATAGCTAAATTGCAGATATTCAGCTTCTTCATTGCATTTGCAGGAATATTTTAATGGGCTACTTAAAAAAAACACTCATCAAGTTGCCTAGTCTAATGCAATAGACAGTCCATTTTTACTCTGATAGCCTATCTTGACCTTTCCTCATGTGGACACATAGGGTCTGTGATCCTGCACAACAAAACATGCAAGAATTAAATCCCCACACTAGCATGGATAGTAGTGGTGCAACAGGTTGCAGAATCCGTGGTATGGATCCCTTCCACAAGGTGCGGCACGCAGGTGGACCGTGGATTGATTGCGAAGTTTATGATTTATCCTGTTTGACCTCTCAAAATATCCTTTATTCTGGAAATGTCAGAGAACCCAGTTAGATTCTGAATGTGCAGAACTTTGAACAGTTAATCTGCATAGACTTGTATAACATATCAGGGGGAAAGACTACTGATGTAAGTCATTAACTGAGGAAGTTCTGTAGTGATATGCTTTAGTTATTTTGTTTATCCTATTCACTGCAGTGTCTTGCAATGTATGCAAATCAGTGCATTTAAATTAGTAACGCCTACTTTGCATACAAAAATGGCCATTGTGATGAAGTTATTAGAAACAAATTTTACTGTATTCACCTGTAGTGTCTCCATTAAGTAGAGTACATTCACTTGTATGGCCATGATATATTGCCTTAGCTGAACTTTAGCGAACGTATTACATGCATGTTAGCAAGACACAAGTTAACTGTATTTTGTCTTTTGGCAAATTAGCTGTAATCTTGAGCCATTGATAGCTTAGTGTTTTGTTCATCACCACTCACCTCCAGTCTATACAATGCGTGTGCTGCGCTGCTGTGCGGAGACACGTGGGGCAAGAGAGAGGGAGAGAGCGAGAGCATCCAAATCACAAAATCTCATCTCTCAACCTGATATTTTGATTTTTTATTCAATAAATACATTGTTTGACAGGGAAGCTGTGCGCAAACAGGGATATACATATATACATATATATATATATATATATATATATATATATATATAGGCAACGTAAAGTATATTTGCCTGAACTGAATTAAAATAATACATACTGTCACATGTAAAACCTTCATATAAACTGGTGTCACAATATATCATCAGTGTTATTAGGTTGCTGGTTATGGTAACAGTCTCTGAAAGTGATGAGTAAATGAATGAATAAAGTACTGATGTCTATGTGTGCGCGTGCCTGATTGCAATATTGAATATAGACCTACCCAGCCGTAAAAGAACAGTGCTAATCCTTACTATTGTTGTCCTTTGTCTCAATCATCAGGTGATGCGGTGGTTCACTTTTACTCTGTGATCAGTAGGCTTTAGCTTCTGCTGTCTTCTGTATTTGTTTCACATCAGTTTGACAAACTGAATACAACCTTCAAATGTATAATGCAAACCTTACTGTCTTCTTCTTAACAGTGCTTTTTTGTTTTTCCAAAAACTAGGCAATTTTTCTTACATTGTAAAAACTAAATGATGCAGAGCAAACCTATATTTTTTGCTGCGTTCAATGTGTCTGCAACAAATGCTTACAGGACCCAGAATGTTCAAACATTTGCCACACCCTCCAACTTAACGTCATCATTTCTGTCTGCTTGCAGGGGACTTTCAGCAGCTCCAGCTTATCCACTGTCATAATGCCACGACTCATTGTTGCTCTTATGATGGCTGCGCTGTCAACAGAGGTCTACACCAGCACTAGGTTGAAATCCACCTACTTCAGTGAAGGTACAGTCAGATCTGTGGAGGCTTTCTGCAAATACAGATCAATGCATGATCTTGGATTGCACCCTGTCCACACGTCAGCACAACAACAGCAGCTACAGTCAGCCTGCAGTGTCTAGAATGAACATGTTCAGTTACTGCTTACAAATGGTAAATGGTGAAGCCTAAAACAGACTCTTACATAAGGTCTGAGCTGTTACACTGCTGTGGGTAACATACAGTGTACCATGCTCAATCATAACTGGTTCTTAGGAACGGGAGAGTAAAAAGCCAGCCTTCTCACGGGGAGGAGATGCCATATTGTTTTTCAGCCAGTCACTATCATGGTATTGCACTGACAGAAAGGTAAATGTATGAAAAAAGAGAAGCTGAAATGTGTCCTTGTGTCTCTGATAATGGCCCCTTACTGAAAACTTTCTCATGATCATTCACACTGATTCATACATGCTCTAAGAACACCCCAGCTCCTGAACAGAATCACTACATGCCACTGGTAAAGCTGAATAACATTTTAAAAAGTTGTATTTTCTTACCTAAAGGCAATAATGAATGGGCTGGTTGTCTACTGTTAGGCCAGTGTCTCCAAAAAGACTAGTTCCTATACTTCCTATAAGAGAACTTGAAATGTTTTTCATCTGGCTTTCCAACACTTGACACTTCCAAGCCTAATGCTGCATTCCGGACAAAGTCGGAGGTTGGAATGTCCCAGTTGAAATTTCCAATTTCCGACCCCCAAGCATCCCAGCTAAACAAACCATGGCTGACAAACACACAAACATTTTTTATGTTTTCCTGACTAACTTTGTGCAGAGAAGACAACTTTCAGAGACTGTTACCATAACCAGCAACCTAATAACACTGATGATATATTGTGACACCAGTTTATATGAAGGTTTTACATGTGACAGTATGTATTATTTTAATTCAGTTCAGGCAAATATACTTTACATTGCTACTTAGTTAATGGTTTACCATTTACAACGTGTTCCATGTTTGTCTTTGTCTTCAGATCAGGCAACACTCAAAGCCTTGAGAGATTTAGGCCATGGATCAATACCACAATCAGCAAAGAGTTCTGGGAGATTACCTGTTGATAAGGTCCATTTAGCTGATGAAAAGTTTTCCAGGACAGGATGGTGGATCTCAAAGGTGGTGCTCCCAAACACTACCAAGAAACGTCAAGATGTGTCCTCATACAACCTCAACTCCTTTGGTCTACGTTATGGAAAATGACCCGGACTCTGATGTCTGTTACTCTATTATTGATGTGTTCACTGATTGTTTTTGAATTTAATTTGTACATTCAGATTTGCGAAAGACAATAACTATGTCCCTGTTAAAGGCTCAATAATAAGGCTGTTAAATATTATATAATAACACACACACATTACAGTTTCATTTATTTATTTAAATTTTTAATATATTTAAATTTTTTTAACACACACACACGCTGTTTTATTTATTCATTTATTTCATTTTTTATATATTTATTTTTTTACACACACACACGCTTACTGTTTTATTTATTTACTTTATTTTAATTTTTAATATACACACACACAAACATATGCTTTAATTACTTTACGCTTTAATTATTTGTTTAATGAAATGTATGGGGTTGATTGTTCTTATGTAGTTTGTATGATGCTTTGGCAATATTGTTGTTATACATTCATGCCAATAAAGCTAATTTGAATTGAACTGAATAGAACTGAATTATTATTGAAGGATCCATTTCCATTGTCTGACCCTAAACCCTTGTTCACCTTTGCATTACCAACCAGGATTAGAAATTTCAGAAAAAGCACTGTTTGATGATCAAATAATAATAATAATAATAGTAAAAATGTGAGCAAAGCAATATGTTTGAATAAATATCTTTATTCAAATAAATCTGAAAAAGATATTCTTTGAATTAACAAAGGACCACATTAAATGACAAGATTTAAAATAAATCAAAAACCTCACCCAAGGCAGGGTGCTTTCTCCTGGGAGACAAAATGCTCATTCCCACTCAGGACACTGTACCAGTCTTCTCCCTGCTCTAACAGCCCGTTCTCGTTCCCAGGTCGTCAAACACTGACGTTTTGTCACACTCAGTGTCTTATACAGACTCACAAGGTATGGAGGCAGGTCAGACAAACACAGAACTTTTACCCAGGAGACCAGGGCTCAAAACCAAGTCACCAGTTTAATTAAAGTTACATAATGTTACATATATGACTTACACACGTGATTTTATAAAAACCTTTGTGTAACCATGTGTTAAAAAGGCGTCTCATTCGAAACGCTAAAGGCTCAGCTACCTGGCTACCTTGTGCGCCTATATGAGACAGACGCACAAGGTAGGGTTGTGAAAATGTCAGTATTTGACTTTGCTTTGCTTTGTTTTTCATGTGTATACAGAGCACCTACAGCTGTGTGTGTGTGTGTGTGTGTGTGTGTGTGTGTCACAGTCAGTGCTTGAAGTGGCCCGGTATTCACCGGTACGTATACCAGCACTTCTATGTTTTACTCTTTGGTGTACCGGGACTTTTTCTTGCACACAGGCACTTCTCACAAGCTGCCCGTACATTTTTCTACCCTCTCCACCGGCGGAGACAGAGAACGGAAAAGGTCAAGTGACAATACACACGCCAACATGTGTACAGCATGTGAATGGGGAGGACTGGTCACAGTGCTGACAAATTAATGCTGGTAACCCTGGAGTGCAGGTTTGGTGGATCCAGACTGCATAGGGCAATCTGGAAAATATTACAATCAAGAAAGTCCCTAGTTTTATGTATCGTGGATGGTTGTAACACTTTTTAAATAAGTGTTTGAAATTAGAAAGGAAAAAATGCATCACACATTGCCTAAGAAATTTCAATCTAATATAAATCAAACAATTCTATCTGCAATAGTCTTGCAAAAAATTGTCTTGGCCAAAAACTTTACTTTCTTACCTCAAAATCAGCTTTTTCACTATATATTCTGAATACACCTCTTTCCAGATTTGATAACCGCCATGCCTGATTGGGGAGGAAGTAGGTAAATGCTGAAATGGTCACCTAACTCCTATCTTATCTCTATTTGGTCAATGTTAACAGGTCACCTGCGTTAAAATCTAATGTTTATTTGAGCCACTCTGCAGACTGTCACTCATCACCAGACTTACTTCTTTGCTCCTGATACATAATAACTGTGATGACCAGACTTTGTTACTTGAACCTAAACATGTTATTTCTAGGGTTTTGCTTAAATGATTGATGCTCTCTTTTTTTGTTTGGGGGACAGTCTCAGTTTGGAGCACTGATGAGACATTTTAAGACCAGATAAAATTGCATCTGTGCGTATTTTAATCTTCATTTCCTCTGATGCTGTGTGGTAAACCACAACTTTCCACTTAGGCAACAAGGTTGACTGGGTTTCCTGTTGATCTTTCATTCATCAGTGGCTGTATGAAGCAATGCAACTCATACATTGCCCTAAGAAGCACAGCAATCACAAAGGCTTTACTTAATGCACTCAAATAATAAGTAAGTGAATAAGTACTCATCCTCCCTGAGTCTGGATCATGAGAGATACAGAAATGAACAGCTGGGTTGTGAAATTCTGTGTATTTCTGTTCCTTGCAGTAGAAGGTAAGTCATTTTGATTTCAATTCAGTTTTTCATTAACATAAATACTTTTTGTGAGGCTTCAATCTATGTATTAAAAGAAATATCTAAGGGTATGCAGTACATGCAGTAATGGATGCATGTTTTAAGATCTGGGACAGGAGAAAAAAGACAAAGGATGAGTTCCAAAAAAACCTTGAAAACTAAGAATCCTGAAAATAAAACCCAACAATGCAATTTTGGACTGAACATACAGGATATGTTAAGGACATTGGTCTCGAGAAAACAAAATTAGATGACATTATTTTTATATGGAAATGCCAGGCATTAATAAATAAACGCGCAAGCTTCTACTAGTTAACTCTATCATCCGTCATACATAGCTTGGGAATATTTATTTGATTCTGATTAAATACTCAAAATACTGTTTTGATGAATTACTCTATTCATGCAACATTAGGACATCAAGACCAAGTTCACCTTTGAACTGCCCATCAGATATTGGAAGATTGATGACATTGAGAGAAGATCCACACAAGGAACTATCTAGGTCACAGCCTAAATATTTAACACAAGTTTAAACCGCAATTTGGGTATCTTCCACAGAAATACTGAGCTCTGGTGTCCTACTCAACCATATTTTTGAACCAAATAATATAGATTCAGTTTTCCCCAGCCATCCGCTAATGTTCTTCAACTCATCACTTCTAATAAAGAACTGCAGTAATCCAGCCTAGAAGTAACAAATGCATGGACTAGTTTTTCCGTATCATTTTGAGACAGGAAGTTACTCATTTTGCAATGTAACGTAGATAAACCAAAGACGGTCCTTGAAGTTCGTTTAATTTGAGAGTTAAAGGACATGTCCTGATCAAAGATAATAAACATTTGGATTCTCTTTTATACTAAGTCTGCAAGATCTTACAGTAGCTTCTTCTGTTTTTAACATTTGATTTTGAGCCATATTAAATTGAGCGTCTCATAGGAATAGCACATGATCTAACATTCAGTTAAATTTTTCAATTAGATTTTATTTATATAGCGCCAATTCACAACAACAGTCAGTTCAGTAAGTCCATAATACATTTGTGACAGCATCACCACAGTAGACTATAGGCTAATAAACCCCGAATTATTACTGTACACGTCCTGTTTTTACATAATTATTCACAATAGGCTATGCAGTCGATCTGCAGTCTTTAGTAATTACTAATCATGCTTATAATAAATTATTACATACAAGTGCCGTATAAAGTCAGTCACCAGAGTGTAATTTCCCCATGTGGGTCCTGATGATGCAGTATGATAATTGCTAAAGCTGTCCAATCAACAAGTTACCTGTAAGTCTGTGTAACACCAATGTTACTTCCCTTCGTTTGTTTGTAAAACTGCAGTGTGGATATGAACCGGACCAGAACTAAAATGCAACAGTGTATCATTTTTTTTCACTTGGTCCGGACCAAATGAACCGAACAGGTGTGAAAAGTGCCCTAAATGATAATAACTACAATAATAGTAACAATAGGACTAGTAATAACAATTGTAACAGAGGGTGTCGAGCAGGAACACGGGGGCATCAGGTGACTCGTAAGCACAGCTCCAGAGCCAGAAACACCTGCAGAAAGTGATAGGAGGAGAGAGGAGAGGACTACGGGAAAGGGAAGAAATCGAGTCAGAAACGGGATGAGGTTGTATACAGATGGAGAGAAAAAGGATGAGAGAGGAGCTCAGTGCATCATGGGAAGTCCCCCAGCAGTCTAGGTATATAGCAGCGTAATGAGGGGTGGAAATAAATATTAACTGATAAAAAAGGATATGATGAAAATGCATGTGAATTGAAAAATAAAGGGGTTATCATGGATGTGAAATGAAAAATAGAGTGATAAATGTTCAAGTGATTTGATTAATTTAAAGTTGATTTGATTAAAGTAGTGATAGAATGAAAACATCACCATTTTTATCAAACATCATTCACAACCCAAAATTGCCATTCATCATTTAAAGAAGGTAGCCTCAAGGGTTGAAGTACCAAAAAGTAAATAAGAAAATGGAGGTGATGAAAATGCTTGTGAATTGAAATACAGAGTGGTTAAATTTAAGGTGAATTGAAATTTAAAGTAATAAATTGTCAACTGATGTGAAAAACTAGATTTACCTTTCATCGTTTACCGCATGTAATTTTTGTTACTTCCTGCTGAAACTATCAATCACAAACCACGCCCCCTGATAAACTGGTCGAGTTTTTGACTCTCAACTTGTCGGCTTCTGAGTACCTTGCTGGTACTATTCCTCCAGCTGACCGGAGGAATAATATGTGCTCTGCTGTACACTGTACTAACAGACTGCCCAAGAAGCCACTGCTCCAGTTATTTTGGTGAGTGAAATTGTAGTATTTCATTTATGTGTTAGCAATAATTAGCAGGTATCGTTGTCGGCATAAATAGCACGTTGGCTTAGCTCGTTAAGCTAATTAGCACGGCTTTGAGCGATCCCAAACTGTGCTAACGATGCTAACTGAACGGGAGGTATGCTGACCAGTTTTTACCAGTCATGTACAGAAGTAAAAATGTATGAGAGAAGTTAAATTTGGGGTGACAATACTTTGGAGCAAAAGGCTCAAAGGAGAAGTTGGAATGTGATGGCCTACCTTGTTATTTTAGCTGACATTATGCAGAGTCAGCATTAAACTTCCCATATGGACAATGTTACAAGTGACTGTATTCAGGGAGAGGAAATACCATTACAGTACGTGCAGCTTGACTGAGAGATGGAGGTGTTTATGGTGAAGCTGCGCTCGGTGCACTAGTTGCACAACACCAGCGGTGTAAACAGCTGTTGTGCAGAGTTCTGCCTGTCCCCTGAGCATTGCATGCCCCTCCAAGCTTAAGAGAGACCTTAAGAGCTGAATGCATAATTCGGCAGAACAAATGTTCTAGGCTACCTGCCTAGATTTGCATCCACTTTTTCTTAGCATATATGAGTGTTATCTCCACCGAGGTGCATGCAATTCTAGGCAGGCATGCAGAAATCAGCACTACACCGGCAGCTGGGCTGTACCTAGGGCGATGTTCCTGAGTGGGGTAAAGTAAGAATAGTTATGGCGAGAAATTAGGTGTGTGACAGCCAAAAAATAGATTAATGTATTAATGAAAAAATAATTAATCAAAATTTCATTAAAAAATTATATAAATTTTTTTTATGAATATTAATTTTAAATACATTTATAATAATTATAAAAAATAAAATAAAAAATTTTATTAATAAAAAAAATCACAGCATCACAATCATGGACATCACAGGTAATCAATTTGGGAGTAACGACATCAAAACGACGTAAAAGATATGAGTGCTTCAAAAGGAGTCTATACCACACAGTGGTGCGGGTCTGTGCCAGGAGAGCTCTACCGTATAGAGACAGACCTTGAAGTCTACGACCCAGAATCCTACATCTTTTTTAGATCGTGCAAGGACGATTCTATCATTCAGAAGGCAAGGATGGGAACCCCAGAGCAACAAAAAGGCTACCCCATCACGTCTAAAGAGTGGGAGATGTGGTTCAGCACCGGCTTTGTGGTCCAGTGGGGAGAATGGGATAGAACCCTTGAAATCTTCTCACACATTGATAAATTATTCAGATGGTATAAACATTATGTTAGCTATGTAGAGATCAAAAGAAAACTTTTTGGTCCTGAGGACAATCAAGATGAACAACAAACAACACCACAGACAACCTCAGAGACCTCCACGACGGGGCTGACGGTGACAGTGTTATAATTAAAATGTTTTGTACAGGTACGAGGACATGTGCAGCGGGTGAGGATTTATCGAGCACCCCTAAATATTTTCCATTACTCCAGGATGATGTCGTCGATAACTCATGGGTGGATGTCTATGGCAAAGAACTGGGGAAAAGAAACTTAACATTTCTCATTCCTGAAGAAAAATCAGAAGAGGACAAGAGCAGGATCGAGCCGTTTAAGCGTGCCTCTTTGGACACTCTGGGATAGGATACTATGTTGTTCTAGATTTGACAAACAGACAAATGACCTCGGGATGGCGTACCATGGTGCAAATGACAGCGGATAAATATGCAGATGTGAAATCTACTCTACTTGATATAGCAAATGTTTTTCCTGTGAATGATAATGAGTTTCATATGGGTCGTGTGTTTTGTTTTTTGTACTTTTAGCATTGATTTGTGTGTTTTAATGCTAAACAGAAAACAACATGTCGATGTTGCTGATGTGATGTATTACTTAACTGAATCTTTAGTATGTAAAAACATAGGTGCTTGTACTGATTGTCTGAAAAGTGTATACTTGTAATCATTGCTGACGGATATGTTGCGTATGTCGTTGGAAATAAAATACTTGAACACAGACGTTGAACCGTCAGTCTTTGTAACAAAGATCACGGAGGAGTTGATGAGAAATAATAGATTTGTTTTCAAAACACGTATGGGATGCGTTGTTAAAAAAGTAAGAGTGGTAAATGCGTCACAGAATCCTTAAAAGATATTTTAGCTGAAGGTAGAATACCGCATAAAATTCAAACAGGGAAAAGAGTTCTTAAACAAAGATTTCGATGCGTTAATGAAAATTAATAGTATCGTACACTTTACCACATCAAATGAGACTAAGGCATCTGTAGTAGAGCGCTTTAACAGGACTCTGAAATCTAAAATGTGGTGTTATTTAACAGCCAATAATTCTAAACGATACGTAGATATATTACAGGATTTCGTCACCTCCTACAATCATAGTTATCATCGTAGTATTAAAATGAAACCGATTGATGTAACCAAAGACAATGAAGATATCGTATTTAACTTGTATAAAACAAAAGATAAAAGAGTAATTCGTTTTAAATATGAGGTGGGCGATACAGTAAGAATTTCAAAACTATGCGGCCCTTTTAAAAAAGGTTATGAACAAAATTATACTGATGAATATTTCACTGTAAAGGAACACGTGTCAAGGGACCCTCCTGTTTACAAGTTAAAAGACTATGTCGGCGAAATATTA